GTTAAACAACTATTTGATCTGGCGTTGTTACAAAATTCTCTCGACAATATGTTCTCCGTCCATAAACGCCAAAAAATYATCCACGAAAAGGCTTTACCGTTTTAACCGCTTCTTCTGAGGAATATGATTTGTTGTCGTCTTCTTTCTTTTGCAACACGAAACTGGCTTAGCAAGTCACATATGATATTCGTCTGGGTACTTTCCAAGGTCTCCATCAGACCGCTATAAGTATCATAGTAATATGCTATTTGCGAAATWTTTGCAACTTTATTATTTGTAGATCACAGTTTAAACCCAGAATGGACCAGTGCAGATTACATGAATCTTCAATTTAAGGTAAATAAGGGGAAGAAAAGCACTGAGGGCTTATGAAATAAACTATCACAGTCAAGATGTCAAAATTTCACTTTTTTTACACTAATGCTRTCGAGATTAATTGACACTATAGTTAATAAGCATGTTTGCGAAGAAGCGCTCACAATTTATACAAAGTTTATATATAATCATTATTCGTCAATTTATTTTCTTTTGGGGATGATGATTATCCATTCCGCGATACTGAATGAAACTATGCTGTATACTGTCACTGCAAATCACGTTATCGAAAAAAATCTYGCAAATCTCGTTATCGAAACTTACGAAWGTGCTAATGAATGCGCTTGCTCACTTTCACTACTGACCTAAATGAATGTATATTCTGCGTACATGAACAGCAAAGTGTGTATATATTTTCAATTCTAGGAAATGAAGAGTTAATTATATTTCAGGTGCAAAAAAGAACTAAGAAATGTTTCGATTGTGTTTTATCTAGGTTAAATGGTTCTTCAAYGAGTACGTCTTGAGTACCCCAGAAAACCGAGGAAAAATACCAGAATACACAGGGTATGGAGTCGGCTTGATTAGATTAAGTACATTTTAATSTGGATAAAAACCTTTCTTGATTTTATTTCAATCCTGTTTGCCCCATTTKGGCCTAGATARCTACTTGGCTGGGAAAGGCYCATACGCTATTGACAGTTGAGCCATTTTCCCAAGGATCCAACACCTAGTAACTTAGATTGACACTATAGGCACCATTATTATGGCTTGTGCTTCTACATTCTTTTGAGCACACAAGAAACCCAAACGCATTATTTTAGCTTTTTGTTTAAAATATGAGTACAGTGCTCATTGCTCGGAAAACGATCAATAAATCGTTAATGATGGTAGATTTTTTTCTACAGATGGTTTGAACCATTTGTGTCTCAGTGGCTGACAGAAAATGATGAAGCTTCCATGGACTTTATGATCGCYGCATTGGAACGAGACAGAAAAGATGGGGTGAGTACATCGACTATTGAATAAATGAGTTGAAACAGAAATTGCATACCTAGAGTTATCTCTTCTCCCATGTCTTAAACCTCCCCTCCCCCACATSTCTATCATATAGAACCTCCCCTCCCCCACATCTCTATCATA